CTGGGTAGAACTACACCCAAAGGGTCGGATGGTCACATGGGAGGGCCCTGTGCCCAGGGTTGGGTGAGGTGGGTGGAGAGAATCAGGAAAGGCCTTTTTTCCAGGAGGACCCTGGAGGATTTAAGAGGAAGGTGGGAAAGGAAGGGCATACTGATAAGGGATCCAGCCCAGCAAAGCTCCTCGGGTGGCTCTGAGAACCTCATCTCTTCTAGGACCACAAAGCAGCAACTCTGAAGCCAAGAGCCCCCTGGTGGCCAAACCTCAAAAGTAATAAACAAGTGGTTCACCCTCCTTTCTGCACTTCGAACCCCACCCCCGCAAGTCCTTTGGAGGGTTTTGAAGCTCAGAAAGTTTAAGTCACTAATACAGGCTCGCCCAGCTCTGCCCCCAAAGCCTGAGGTCTGGGAGCCACCAGGCCCTCTTCATCCATGCCAGAGACACCAGGATAGATTCAGGTGGGGACGCATAAAAGAATAGGACAGAGTGGGGGAGGGGAAGTCCCACAGCATCTAGGAGCTCTGGAACCAAGCAGGCGGGGGTGGGAGCCCCAGCTCAGTTACCGAGGCTTGGCTACAGGCAAGGAGGTGGACACGGGGATGGAAGGAGAGGGCGCAGCACCTGGTGGACTTGAGCCCTGGAAGGGAGGCATTCTCATGGTGACTGGGACCTGTATCTGTCACTTCAATTGACTTTGTTCATCTCACTGCACGAAGCTCTCAGCGGCTCGCCAAAGCCCCACAGAAGCGCTCAGCACACGGACCCCGAAACTCCACTGGCTCTGAAAGCAGGTGGCTGGGCCCCAGGCCTCTGGGGCGCAGTTCCCACAGAGTTCCTGGACCCCGTCCCCTGCGAACCCCCTGTGGACGGCCAGACACAAGCTGCAGGAGTTTAATCACAGTGCTGTTTACAGGCATCCCCGCCCGGCTGGCCCGGACCCTAGGGAGACCTGAGCCGCTATAAAGCAGCGACCCCTGGCGCTTCCTCGTGGCAAACACTGTGATCCCAGGCACGTGGGAGTTTGAGACAGGAGGCTCTTAAGTTTTGAGGGCTCTGCAACTTAAGGCCAGACCCTGTCAAAAAATTTAAAGGTGGGGGTGTGCATGCTGGGGTTGCAGCTCAGGGGTAGAATGCTCCGGGTGGATCCCCAGTACCTCAAAAACAAAAAGAAAGCAACAAACAACACACACAAAGCAGTGTTTTGGTTTTTTAAAACCCCCCCACACACACACACAAAACCACAAAAGCCTTTTAAAAAATGACAAAATGTCTTTTTTAAGTAGAGAACTCCATCGCTAGCCCCTAGAAGGCTCCTTTACCCCTCTATTTGCGTGGACCAAGAAAGAGGGCAAGATCAGATGTTTTAAAGCCTGTCCTACTCCATCTCGGGGAGGCGCGCATCCTTCCGAGAATCTTCAGTGGGCACCAGCCCCAAACTGGAGCATGCGCATATGCCATCACTTTATTGGGCTCCTCCTCTTAGGTTACGCGCAGGGTCTCCTTTTTACTCCTTGGGCATGCACCCAGTTTCCTCTCGGCGCCTTTTCTTCCTCGCAAACTCCTGACCACACCCTTCCAGTTACGCGGCGCTCACGCGTCACAATGTGCGTGGCTCCCAGGAGACGTGCCACACCATCTTGCAGAAGGTGCAGCAGGAGCTCCGTGGTGCTACCGGCAACTGCTACTGCGTTCCTAGTCCAAGCCCCAGAACAGGTCTCCATAGATGGTGAAGGTGAGTGGCAGCTCCTAGCGCGCCGCCTGGCCGCCAGCACCACGTCTGGGTAGTGGTGGATGCCCTCGTCCACCTCAACGAGGTGCAGCAAGAGGTCCCGGTGCGGTGTGCGTCACGTGCCCAGCCCCGTGGAGTCCTTGCTGCCGGAGGCACCCACATCACCTTGGCGCCACACAGTAGCAGGGGGCGCACCTGGGCCTCAAGGCAGAGCAGCGCGCCCTCATTGTGGTCGGAGGAGGCTCACCTAAGGGCGGGCATCGTGGGGTTGGCTTCCCTTGGATCAGAGGGAGAAGTGGGGGGAGGCTGCCTGGACAGCGCCCCTGCCTGTAATGGACCAGGCACAGGTGTGCACAAGAGGAAGCTTTTTCTGGCCAGGGGCTGGAGGGTTATATTTGGCTAAAGAGAACACCGGCGCCTGAAAAGCTGCTGAAATTGCACTCATGCACCACAAAGAGGTGAGGCCTAGGGATTACCAGGGGCAGAGAGAAATAAACAAGTATACTCAGAATCAGGTTGTGTCCCTTCTAGAGGGATGGGGTGCCTTTCAGGACCAGTTGCACAGCCTCCCCTGTTACAGCCCTGATCAGAGGGGCACGGTGGAGATCATCGACCTGGCTGGCCCTCCAGGGCTGCTCAGAGTGCCTGAGAGGAGGTGCAGGACTCACAAGGACAGAGGGAGGTCAGGGCCTGCACAACCATCGGGCACATCTGTCACAGCTGAGCACTGCATTCTGTCAAACCTTCTCTCCCCCAGCACTTGATCAAGTCTTCCCTCTGCTGCCCTTGGATTTCTCTCCCTACTCAGTCTCTTGGGGAGACCCCTTTGCGGTTCTCAGATTGTCCCCAGCACCCGTCTTCTCATTCTCCTTATGGGTGACTCTGAATCTTAACGTTTCCAGCCTGGACCTCCAAATGCCTGACTGAAGATCATTGGCTCTTTCACATCTTCTTGGTGCCCAAACTGACCAGGTGCAGCTCCCAAGGCTGAAGGTGACTCTCAGTGATCAGTTCCCTGTCCTCCCAGAGTAGCACCACCTTCCACCTAGCATCTCTGCAGGACAGCATCGTGCCTGAGGGAGTGGGTTTCCCTTTGGTGGCATGGGCTGGCTGAGAAAAGCTAAGAAAAATAGTGCGGAGAAATGACCACAGAGCACAGTTTCAAAGAGTGGGCAGTGATGGGCAAAGCTGACCAGACAGGTCCAGCTTCTACCAAAGAAAGGAGCCTGTGTTTGTTTTATTTATATCAGAAGACAGCAAAGGCTTTCTTCACCAAAACAGGATAGAGGCGGGGGCAGGTAGGCTGCTCAGTTCCTAGCGGTTACGCCCATCTCCAGAGCTGCGCGGGAACTTCTGGCAGAGCAGAGGGGGAGTTCACTTGCTTCGGGCAGTCTGTCCTGGTGGGACTGCCACAGGAAGTTCCCAATGCCAGATCTACTCTCTCTTTGGCTATGATGCTGAAAAGGTCCTCACACATTTCATGGATGGCTTCCCGCAGGACAGGACTCATCTTCCACACTAACTCTACAGCCAACCTAGTCCAGGAATCCACCTCCTGAGGTCCTCATCAGAGTCTGTCCCACCCCTGATAGAAACCCTGATTTGACTCCCCACCCTGAGCCAGTGGATATTTGAGGTCCTTTATGTCCCTTTGGGGTCTGGCCCCTCAACCTCAGCCAGATAAATGCCTGGTGGGCTTCTCCACCCCCTGCACTTCTGGCCAGGCGGAACCCATCAAATGCAGGATGCTGCGGTGACTGGACCTTACCTTCCAGTCTCAGCTTTCATCCACTCAGTCTACAAATGTCCACTGAGTGAGTGCCTCCTAGCATGCCCCAGGCACTGGGAACCCAGCAGTGCACAAGGTAAGAAAGGCTGCTGCTCTCTAGGCCCCAATTCTAAGGAAGAGCCAAGCCATGGATACACAAGTAAATGGCCAGGGTGCTTTCCAAAAATGAAAGGCAATCTGAGAAAACTATTTGATGGTGTGACTGAGGAAACAGGAGAGGGAGTTTCTCAGGCTGGAGCGATCAGAGAAGGCCTTGAGCTGAGGCGAGCAGGATAAGGAGCCAGGCATTAGAAAAGCTAACTGCAAAGGTAATAGCAAATGCTAAGTCACAAAGAGCAGGGCCTGGCCAGGTCCAGTTGGCTGGGGAGTGAGTTGTGGCTGAAGACCACAGAGGGATGGCATCTTGGAGGCATGCGAAGTGAAGAGCTTGAATTTTGTTTTGAAGGTGGAGCCTGGGATGATTTTAGGCTACGGGTTGGCAGGATTTGATTTATATTTTAACAGAAGCCCGTGGGCTGCTCCTGAGATGAGAGGGAGGGTGGCAAGGACAGGAGCAGGCAGAACAGTCAGGAGGCTCCTACAGTTATCCAGGGGATCCTTGGAGAGTTAAGGCAGTAGAGAGGAGGAGAAGTAGATTGTGGCTCTCTGGAGATAAGAGCCAATCGATGGGACTCCGGAGACTTGGTTGAGGGAGGCAAGTGGATGAGAAAAAAGAACTCCAGACGAGTCGGAGGTACTGTCTTAAACACGTGGGAGGAAAGCCGGCGCATTTAGTGGAAGAGACGGTAGATAGGCCTGAACGGAGACAGGGGTGGGTTTAGGGCGAAGAATATGGAATTTCGCTTGGACAAGGTCTGGTCTTTGTGAATTTTCCTCAGCCCTGAGCTGGGTCTGGCGGCCCCCCTGGGCTTCCGCAGCTGCCTGTGCACCCCGTGACCTAGTCTGACCACTCCGGGTTTATCCAGGGCAGAGGAAGGTGCGCTCGCGCTGTACCAGGGTTGGAGGGCGAGGCTTCATATAGGGCCACAGAGTCCAAAGCTGTTCATCAGGTGCAACAGCTGCCCAGAGCTCTCCCGCCGGAACAAGGGCACTGAGAGGTCACAAAGAGCCCACTTTCTCCAGGGGAGCCTATGGGAATGCGTGGAGAGAAACCCAGAGGCATTTAATTCCGACACGACAGTGCGACGGCGGCGCTCACCTGGGCTGAACCGGAACTTGCAGGTTGCAACGCCAAGGAAAGGACTCCCGGCGCCAGCGAAGCGCTCCCTCCCCACCCTCCCAGCGGAGGAGCTGCGCCTACAACTCCCGGCGGCCCCGGCACCCCGCGCGCTCCGCCGCGCCTGGAGCGCACCGCGCCGTGCGGGTCTCCGTCTGCGCCTGCGCACGCGCTGTGTGGACCCCGAGTTCTGCTGGCAGCCGCGCAGTTTATGCCAAAGCAGAACGGGTATTTCTCAGACTTTCTGCTCTTATGGGGTGTAAGCGTTTGTGGCGGGTGGGGCGGGGTGTGGAAAGGAGAGGTAGCGCCTGCGCTGAACGCGAGCCCGGGGTGAGGAGTGGCTTCTGCGCGCGCCTGGGGCAGCCGCGGTACCCCGGCCGGCGGGTGGGCCGGGGTCTGCACGCGGAGCTCACAGGGAGCGGTTGACGCCAGGAACAGTTATGCACTGGCGTCGGTGGGTCGCGCAGGCCACCCCAGCAGGTGGAGTAGGCAGCTTGGCTCAGGCTCGAAGCAGGTGAGTCCTCTAAGACCAGCACCCAAAGACGACGAAGCACGCTCCCTGGAGTCCACTGGAGCCCTGCTCCCCAGGCCCAAGCCCTCGACCTCCTTCCTGCCCGGTCTTCTGTATATTCTGAGATCTTGTCCCCCATGAGGCCCGTGATGAAGATTGACGGTGGGGGCTGATAGGGACCCCTCAGTGTCTGCGCCTGTCACTTCTGAGGGTTGAACTCTGGTCTGGGGGTGAGAGGGTCATTGCCCCACGCCCTGTCCTGTGGGACACGGGTGTATGGGGCTTGGTCAGGAGGTAGGAGGGTAAATGTGAGGTAGCCGTGCTGCAAGCCAGGACGTGGTGGGAACGACAGCAGGTAACCCACCACGCCCCAAACCTTAGTCCTGCAAATCTCTCAATGAAATGGACTCAGGTGCATTAAAATAAGTTTAAAACCATAATGTAAAGCTTATGTAATTAAGTAATGTTAGATTTGTTGTAATTATTACTATATAATTATACACTGAAGTTTTATTTAATTGCAGACTACATTAGTTCTTATTAAGTTCTTATTAAGCCCATGTGGGGTGACGGACAGAATGGGTTAGTGAACGGTTAGCTCCTGCTGGACTGAGTGCTGTACTTCCCACTCACAGGAAAATGAGGATAAGAATTGCACCTGCCTCCTAAAGTGTTTGTGAAGATAAATTTAGTCACATTGCTCTACCAAACAATAACATTTGTTTTTTTTCATCTCACTCCCCATAATCAGGAATGCCTGCCTTTTCTGGACCAGGCCTGATTTTAAAGTCCTTTTAGAAGAAGCTATGAAGTAAGTTCCAAAACTCAGACATCCTAAACATAGTCTGTCGTTGGCTCCCAGCTGGGGAGGGCAGGGGCCATTTGGAACCCACAGAACATTTGGCCTCCTCTGGGGACATTTGTGGTTGTCATGTGGAGAGGAGACCAGGGGCAGGCCTGAGAGTTAGTGGGTGGCAGGCAGGCTGCTAACGCTCGCTGTACGGGGGAGCTTCCACAGTAGTTCCACAGTAGTTGGCCCCAAAAGTGAAGAGTACCAGAGTGAGAAACCCCGACCTGAGCTGTATTCTCTCCTGTGGGTTTTTACCCTAAAGCCACAGTCTACAACATTCAAGGGTTTCTATGCTGGTTTAAGTTTTCTGCTCCAGTTGATTTAATTAAATAAGTGGACCTCAACACCACATACTGAAGCCAGCCTGCCTGTGAGACTCCTCACTCCACTTGCTTAGTTGTTGACCTGAGTGTGACCTACCCTTTCTGCACCTCAGTGTCCTCATGTGTTAAATCGGGTGGTTATATTGGTGGAAGGATTAAATGAGTTAATATATATAATGCATTCAGATCAGTGCTTGACATATAGTAAGTGCTGTTAAAAGGGGCAGGGGTTGGTTCTTTCTGTCATTTCCTTTGGGGTAACGTTGATAAGCATTTTTTTTTTTTTGATACTAGAGATTGAACCAGGGGTGCTTAACCACTGAGCCATGTCCCCAGCCCTCTTCCTCTTCCTCTTTTAATTTTACTTTTTTTATTTTGAGACAAGGTCTTGCTTAGTTGCTAAGACTGGCTTTGAACTCATGATCTTCCTGCCTCAGCCTCCTGAGCCGCTGGGACTGCAGGCAGGTGCCACTGCAGCCAGTCTGATGAGCCGTCTTGAGATCCAGTCATGGCTTGAGGCAGGTCCACTGGACAGGCCCATCGAATTCTGAGTGGCCGTGCTCATCAGCGTGCACAGTTTGGGCAGAGGCTTTGCATGAATACTTCTCAGACATCTTAGGTCTTACCTGTGGCAGCACATTAACCATGACCAGGCTGGGGTGGGGGCTGGAGAGGGCATGCAACCAACCTCTCATCACTCATGGTGAAGGTCCAGCTCCTCAGCCTGGCTGCTTCCAGCTGGCCTCTGGTGACTCCGCAGTCGTAGTCTACCCTGGGCCTCTGGCAGTTCCCCATGTCTGCCATCTGCTTTGTCAAGTAAACGGGGTTCTCTGACCTGAAAGGCAGTTCTTACCTCTTGAAGGTCAAGAAGTTGAGAGAGTGACAAATATCACCTTCGAGCAGAAGCACCCTATGGTTTTGACATGTATTTCTAAGCCTGACAGATCTAGCCAGGCTTAAATTCCATTCTTTAAAACAAACATTTCTCATGAGACATTATCTTTGGAAAGAGAGTGTGTCAGTCAGCTTTTCCTCGCTGTGACCAAAATACACAACAAGAAAGCAGAGGAGAAAGAGTGTATTTTGGCTCATGGCTCCAGAGGCTCAGTCCCTGGTAGGTTGAACCACTGTCCTGGGCTCAGTGAGGAAGAGCATCATGGCAGAGGGGTGAGGTGGAGGAGCCCTGCCCCATTCTTGGCCCAGGAAGCAGAGAGGAGGGAAGGTGACCCTTCCAGGGCTGCCCCAGGGCCCTCCTCTGCCAGCCACGCCCCCACAGTCTTTCTGACTAGGATGGGCTGAGGAGGTTACAGCTCTCAGTCTGATCATTTCATTAACTCGGGAGCTTTTGGGGGACACTTCATATCCAAACCATAACAGAGGCCTCTGGATGGTTTGGTTTCCCACATTCCCTCTGCTCCCTGGCACGGAGGTGTTTCCTGTGGAGCTGGAGGGCTCATCTTTACTTGGCTCTTAAGGAGACAGCCACACTGTCCACAGCAGGGACAGATGCCCTATTTCTCTGGTGTCATTATCAAAGATGGAGTTTCCATAGGAAATACTGCGACTGTCAGTTCAAAGAAGGCATCAGCTAGGAAACTGAAGCACAGGAGAGTGCCCCCGGATTCATCCTCATCCTACAGATAGAGGGAGACCCTCAGGGCCTGTGAATGTCCTCGTCCTCCATGGGTCTCTGGAAGAGCAGGACTCTGCACTCTCTGGTCCTTAAGGAGCATCACTGACACTCCAGGAAGAGGGGGGGAGAGAAGGTGGAAAGGAGAAGACAAGGGAAGCGGGGCGGCAGAGGCACCCTCCGTTGGTGGGGCTGTAGTTCTGCCTCCAGAACCGTTTCCCTGCCTGGCACTCCTGACGTCCTTTGGTAGGTCGGAAGAAAGGCGGCCATCTTCTGCACTGCGGGCATTTAGCAGCACCCCTAGCTTCTGACAGTGGCACTCTCCCCCTGCAAGTTGGGACAAAGAATGGCTTTAGACACTGCCAGAAGCACCCCAGGGGAGAAAAGCTCCCCTGGTGGAGAACCACTGCTCAGAGCCAGTGTGAGAGTCAGAGCACATCCCTCCCTGCTCCCTCACCCTGACCCGGAAGAACCTGCGTGACCCACCCTGGCTGCTACTCTGGCCTCTGCCTACTGCCCTTTTCAGCATTCCCCGCTTCGCACTCTGGGGCCTTTGCCAGAAGTGCTTCCCATGGCTGCCTCCTAATCATCTTCCAGGTCTCAGGTTAAATGTCACCTCTCCAACCCTCCTAGCAGAAATAGCCACACACTGTTCCTTTCCTCTACGTCACTGCCCTTTTCTTTTGTAGATTGTTATTATCTGAAACCTGCTTTTCACTTCTGCTTCACATGTCAGTGTCATGGAAGCAAAAGTTTTGACAATTTTGTTTGTGGTCTTTGTGTCTATGATAAAACCTGGCACAAAGTGGGTCCTTAGGAAATACAGTGAATGAATAAATAACTGAAGGCTTGAGCCTTGTGCTGGGTGGGGCTGGGGACCTAGAGATGAGCCATACAGAAGGCCTGCCCTCACAGGATTCCAGGCTGGTGAGGGAGAGAGACCTGGACACAGATGATTCTAGTTCTGGTGACCAGAGATGTCACAGCAGTGCCAGGGACCATGAAAGCCCAGGGTGCAGGAGGGTGCAGGACTTGGAGGACACTCCCCAGACAAGGAGCACTCATGATTGCTCGTGGCTGAAGAGTAAGAGTTCACAGGGCAGAGAAGAGCACTCATCACTTATTCTCCCATTTCCTGGGGCTTTACCTGCCCCAAAATGTGGGGTCTCCAAGAAGAGGCCATCTTGAACCCTGCCCTTGGCAAGCTCCTCGTCTGGTGGGAGGGGCTGTGCAGTCCCGATCCAGGATAGATTGCAGCAGAGGGAAACACAGGCGTGGAAACCATGAGGGGCTACTTGGTTCTTGTTGGGGTGTGGGAGGGAAGAGCGTCCAGTATGAGCGGTTGTCTAGCACTCTTCTGTGCAGGATGCTGGACATTGGAGAGAACTCGGCCCAGTCCTGGAATAATGCTGAGCCCATGTCGCACTGACCTATGCACGTTGTGTGTCCGAGTGCTACAATCCAGAAGGCCAACCCGGCCATAGGCCCCACTACAGACAAGGACATGGAGGCTTAAGAGATGTTGAGGTGCTCACAGGGAGAGCAGCCCAGTTGGTATCAAGTATGACCAGAGGGTTTGGAGGGGCTGAAGTGGAAGAGTGGACACATGCACAAGACAGCCATCTTTTTGCACAGGTAGCATGACTCTGAGTGGCCTTGGGCCAGTCTCACACTGGCTTCTCTTCCATGGAGTCTGCAAAACCAGTCAGGGAAGGCTGTGTGCAGGAGGCCAGGACAGAGCCCCACTGGAGAACAGGGAAAAGTGGGAGGAATCATGACCTGTTTCCCTTCCCAGGATGGAACAGCAGAGGGGGCTCCTGTTATCGTTCGTGGGTGTACAGCTGCTGTTCATGGGGGCGTTGTTCCACCAAAACCATCACCTCCGTGACCTCACCTCCTTTCTGCGCCTCCTAACACAAGACAGGGCAGAGGTGAGAGAGGCTGCCCCTCGCTGACCCGTGGTTCTGAATGTGCCTCCTGAGCTCCAGCTCCTTTTGGTCCAGGTCTGCCCGCCAGGAACCTCTCAGCAGGACGTCTACTCCAACCTCAGCCAGATCCACCCTGTGGACGTCAGTGAGGATGATCTGCCAAACTGCCCCATCAGCTCACCCTGCATCAGTACGCGTTTGGCGGGCCTTCCAGACCCCCAGCCCCGTCCCAGGCCATGGGGAGATAGTGGCAATCCCTGGGAGTCCGGCAGAGCCTGGAGGCAGAAAGCAGAGGATCTGGTGGCTGTGGGTGATGTTGTGGTTACCTAGCTGTATCTCCACAAATCACCCCAAAGCAGCGTCCGTGAGCAACCATTACTTCCCAGAGTTTATGTAGGTCAGGAATTTGGGGAGGGGCTCAGTTGGGTGGTTATGGTACAGGTTTTCCATTCAGCTGACGAGATGGGACTGCGGCTGCAACGGCAATGTGCTGAAGCCCTGGGAGCTGGCTGAGTATCTCCCTCTTGACGTCCATTCTGCTCAACTCCAGGCCTGTCTGTGTCAACTCATCAAATGGGCTAGTTTGGCCTTCCTGGAGGCATGGTGGCCTTAGAATGATTACTTCTTACATGGCAGCCGTAAGCTCCAAGAGCATGTATTTGCACAAACATGGTGGAAGATACGTAGCTTCTTGTGATCTAACCTCAAAAGTGACATGGTGTCACTTCTGCCATACTACAGTGATTAAAGCCCATCTATCCTCAAGGTGTCAAGGACAGAGGCTACCCACCCCTTCAGGAGGAGGAATGTCAAATTCACATTGTAAGGAAGGCGTGATGGGTGAGAGATACTGTTATGGACATCAGGAAAAGTCTGGAACAGGAAGGGAATGGGAGTCTGGGGTCCTCAATGAGAGGGAAGTGAGAAAGTAACAACTGGGGGAATCTGGGAACCATCTGGAAGGAAACATCTGGGATCTCAGGAAGCAGATTTCGAACTACAAGTCAAAAGGGGGAAAAGCAACAGGCGATGAGCTTACTAGAGAATAGTGAAGAACAGTGAGGTGTGGGAGCCATGTGTGAGGCCTAAAGGAGCAAATATAATCAGGAGGGGGGTGAAATGGGATGACGGAGACATTGAGAGGCGTCAAGAAAAGCAAGACGGGCATTCTGAAGTCCTCATGCATGACTCAGAGCCCTCTGTATTGGCATAGTAGTTTCCCAGGACTCGCCAACAAAGTATCACAAACTGGGTGACGAGAGGAATTTATTCTCTAAGCTATTCTGGAGAACAGAATTCTAAAATCAAGGTTTTAGCAAGGCTTGGTTCCTTCAGGAAGCTCTTGGGGAGGAACCATCCTACGCCTCTCTCCTACTTTAGGGTTGCTGGCAATCCTTGGCACTCATTGATTTGTGGCATGTCACTCTATAATCTCACCATGGTTGTCTTCTCTCTGGGTCTTCACATGGCTTTCTTATATGAATACCAGTCACTGGGTTTAGGGCCCACTCAGATCCAATGCAGATGCATCTTAACAAATTAAAACTGCAAACACGCTCTTCAGTAAAGCCACATTGAAGTTACAGATGGACATGAAGTAAGGGGAGCTCTATTCAACCTGGAGCAACTGGGTTGTGGGGCTGCTGGGATAGGTCCCTAAACATCCTGGGCTTCTGCATCTCTCAGAAGGTCCTTTGAAAGTGATGTTCCCAGAGAACCTGACAATGGAGAAGGCAGTGGAAAAGAACCCATTGGTGAGGCTGGGAGGTCAATACAAACCACCAGACTGCTGGACCTGGCACCACACGGCAGTGGTGGTACCCTACTATGGGCCAGCCCAGCACCTGCAGCAGCTTCTCTTCCACCTGCACCCCTTCCTGCAGCGCCAGCAACTGCATTATGCCATTTATGTAGTGAACCAGGTGAGACAGGGATGAGGAAGGACATGGGCAAAAGGGTAGAGGGTCTGGGCATGGGCTTGGAGAGTTGGGCTGAAGATGGCACTCCCTGAGGTGAGACTGTCTGAGTATCTAGGAGGTTGAGTCTGGGTCAAGAAGATCTTGAATTGGGTGGATCTGGAGCCAGGACTGTGGGTTGGGACTGGACTTGCCAAGTCTGGGATCAGCCTGGGGCTCTCTAGGACCAGAGCTGGCCAGGTTAGACAATAAACCTAGGGGGTAAATTGAAGCACTGGGATTGGGGGCAGTTGGATAGTAGTTTGACTCCCAGCTTTGTCTGTTACTAGCTGTGTGGTCTGAGTGTGGGAATCATTAATTTATTCAACACACTGGTATTCAGTAGAGCTGTGTATGAACCAGTTTCCCCTTCATGATAGGGATGATAATGACACTTCTGTCACTGGATTGTGGGAGGGATTAACCAGGTTAACGAAGGTAAAGCACTTTCGTCAAGGCCTAGCACACAGCAGGCACTCCACAGGTGATAACAATGATGGCGGTGATGATGATGATGACGACTGATGCTGTTGCTGCTGCCAACAACAGTGCTGATGGTGGCCATGCCGATGGCCGTATGGAAGATGGTGATGGAGATGTGATGCTGTGACAGGAGTGATTGTGTTGATAGTGTTAAAGATGATGACATGACAGTGACAATACTGATGGTGGAAACAGTGAACATGATAAAGTGACAGTGATGGTGGTGCTGAAGATGGTCATGATTAAGGAGGTGATGAGGACGAAGGAAATGATGGAGGAGAGTCGAACCCTGTGGTGGTTCTTGGGGCTCAGACCCAGTCTCCATTTGGCAAGAACAGAAACCAAGACACAATCCCTCATCACCCCTCACCTCTGCCTCCTTCAGATGGCCCCTTGAAAATTATGGAACCTTGAAGATGGCCGAAGGAAAGCTGAGGCTGAAGTGACCGGTTGACTGGGGTAGGGGTGGGATACAAGAAAAGCTTCCCAGGAGAATAACTTGAACGGCATCTTCCTGGTCAAGTATGGGGTTTCCAGATCCGCAGTAGAAATGAGAAGGTATTCCAGGCGAGGAAATAGCCCTTGAGAAGGCTGGAGAGCACCCCTGTGGCAGGTGGAGGAACAGACCACTGCCTGACTGGGAGGGCAGCACCGAGCATCTGTGTCCACCCCAGGTAAACAACACCGCCTTCAACGGGGCAAGCTACGCAATATGGGGTTCCGGGAGGCCATGCAGGAGGAGAACTGGGACTGTGTCTTCTTCCATGATGTGAACCTACTCCCAGAGGATGATCGCAACATCTACACCTGTGACATCTTCCCTGCTCATGTGTCTGTGGCTATCAACAAGTTCAACTACAAGTAGGTAGACAAAGGGAGCTACTACTGTGAAGGACTGCTGTCCCTGTCTTTCCTTGCAGCTCACCCTGCCAGTCGGTACAGTGTGGTAGATGATCTCTGCCCTGTTCCCTGAAACTAAGGGTGGGAGGGGTGATGGGCCTGGGGAAACTCTTTGCAGATAGTGAAGAACCTTCCTCTTAGACATGGGTGTAAACTGGGGTGGAGTGATAACTGAAGAGGGGTCAGAAGATCTGCTTAATATAGTGACGGGCAGAGAGGGCTGTTACAGAATCAGGAGGACATGAGAGGAAGGTCTGCCTAAGGGTGAGGAAGGTTATTTTAAGGGTCTGAGGAAAAAAGATCATCAAGAAGGTCACAAGAGGTGCCAGATGATTCAGGGAATGAAGATATTCTGAGACTTACAGGGAAGCTAACCCCAGGCTTGAAAAGGAGATGAACGGAGACAAACACAGGGATCAGGAGATGTTATTGTGGAGGAGTGAAGAAGGGCTGACCCAGAAATGGACCTTGGAGACTCTTGCCAGCAGGGCCTCTGTGACCTGAAATTCCTGTGCTTCCAACTCTCTGCCTCTGAAGGCTGCCCTACCAAGGCTACCTTGGAGGGGTATTTGCCCTGCGCCCCATTCACTACCTGAGGATAAACGGCTTCTCCAATGTGTACTGGAACTGGGATGATGAGGACAACATTGCTACCAGGTGAGGAGCCTGAGGGTCCCACTGTGTGGGGACAGGATTCCCTAGACTGAGGCTGGCTTGGGTTTCCCAGACTGGGGAGACGTGGCATGGGGATGGTCAGAGGAGGCAAATGTATGATGTCCCTGCTCTTCCTCCTGTCCCCGAAAGGGTAAAACTAAGTGGGATGCTCCTGTCACGGCCCCACCTACTCTTTGGCCGCTACCACATGCTAGAGGAGGGGCAGGATCATAGCCAGAAGCAGAGCGTCTGGAGGTGAGTCAGTGGGGAGGCGTGGTGGTCAGCCTTGGGCTCCCTGAAGCCTGGGCTCCCATGGCTGCCCCTTGCCACCCTCAGACTTGGTCTTCGGGCCTGGATCCACCAAAGGTGGAGACACGATGGCATCAACTCACTGGGCTACAGGCTGCTGGCCAAGGAACGGCATCCCCTCTATACCAACCTCACTGTGGACATCAACTTCCAAAACCCAGAAGCCCCAGTGCCAAACAGAGGTATCTGGAGGCTGAAAGAGAGCTTCTGAGGCCAGGGTTTCGTGGCATCCTTCCCACCCACCCCACCTGATTTTTTAATAAAGGAATTCATTTTATTGGTGTCTCCTGTCTGCCATCCCTAATTCCCATCCATCCCTCCTCTCTTTTATCCAACCATGCCTAGGAGGTACCTCTACCAGACATTAATGACACAGGGAAGGCTTCCCTTGGAGTGAATGCACTGAAAATGGGAATCAGAATTTTGTGTTAAATAGAGGAAGCTCTGACAGGGACTCCAGATTGAATAACAGAATTCTACTTCGGAAAATATCTGCATTTCAGATTTAATGAAATTCCACGCTTAGTGAATTATAAGAACAAACATCTGTGGAATACTTATAGTGGGCAGCCACCACTTTAATGCTTGGCTTCACATAATTAATGCAAGTAATTCACAAAGGAAGCCATGAGTTAAGGACTACTAATGGGAGTATCCATTGTGTACTTGAGGTAATAATGGTATGAAGAGGTTAAGTCACTTGTCATCAAGTTGGTGAGACACTGAATGGGGATATACAGTGCCCAGGCAGGCTGGCTCCAGAACCCATAAGCCTAACTCTGCTATGCCCAAGCCTTGTGCTAATTCTTGGAATGATTTGGGCTGGGGGAAGGCAGTATTTTTTTTGTTGTTAAATCACATAATATGAAATTCTCTATTTCACCATTCCCATCACTGCCCAATATTAGAGGTGTCATGGAGAGAAGGATAGTTTAATAGTGAGTCAAGATACTGGTATCAGGCAGCCTGGGTCAAATCTGAGCTTTTCTCATGAATAGATTTGTGGTCTTGGTAAGATTTGTATCAAGTTCTCTAGGCCTAGGTATCTTCAGCTATAAAATGGAATCTGTCAGGGTAGATTACCTCCTAATGGCCAAGAAGAATGAATGAGTTAATTAACACAAGCTGCTTATAATAGTAGCTGCTTCTTCTGAAAACTCAACTCTGGACTCCTCAATCTTACTTTAAGACCCTTGCACGAAGAGTTATTCATCTCTCAGTTCTTGAAGCCCACAGATCTTTTCACAAAGCTCTGGACATGGCTCACATGACAGGAAACTTCGTATTTCTCCCTGGGACCCAGCAACTCCAAAGCCATCACCCAGCCACCCTCCAGATTCTTCAGTCTCTGATCCAACAGGCACTAAGTGCCAAAGGCTTGTCCCAAGAATTGCCATGAATAGGCAATAGAGAATTAGTAGAAGTCAGAGATTGAGAGGGAGATGAGCAGAATGGACAGAGAGGCCTGGGGAGGAAAGGGACAGAGAAAGGAACAAAGGGGCTATGAACCATGGGCCCTACAGGAGTGAGGTGTAAGTCAGAGGTGTGGGCAACATTCTGGAAGAGGACGGAGGAGGCTGTCCTAGGGTGTGTTTGTATGTGTGTATGGGGGGCGGGGGTAGAGAGGACCTTGTGAGGAGTGCATACCTGCTGGAGCTAAGGATCCAGGCAGGCTCAGGGACACAGTCCCATCATCATCCACCAAGCACTTGATCGCTCCAGGAAAGTCCAAGGGCTTAATATACTTACAGTTTGCTTCTCACTCATGGAATAAGGTACAATTGTATTCTCCTGTTGAGATAAATAACTTGCTTAGTGCATGCACAGACCTGGACCTGCTATTTCCCTCTTCAGAAGGGAATACAAGAGTTTTTGTTTCGTTTTAAATATTTATTTGTTTTGGGTGGACACATTTTTTTTTTTTTAACGTGTGCTAGGCGAGCGTGCTACCACTTGAACCACATCCCCCAGCCCATTTTAATACTCTCCAGGTGCAGTGGTTTGGAAGGCAGGAGGATCGCAAGTTCAAAGCTGGCCTCAGCAACTTAGTGGGACCCTGTCTCAAAATGGTCTGGGGATGTGGCTCAGTGGTTGAGTGCCCCTGGGTTCAATCCTGATACCAAAATAAACAAATAAATGAAACTATAATATGGGTATGATTACAAGCCTAGTAATGTGTGGGTACCATCTGCTGCAAACATCTTCTGTAAAGAGCCAGAAAAACGAACATGTTCAGCATAGGGCCACAGGGTTCTGCCACATCTGCTGAGTTCTGCCAGTGGACTCAGCAGCCATAGGCAGGACATAAGCAGATGAGCACACTATGCTCCAATAAGACTTTTAAAAAAGCAGAACTGTTGGTTAGTAGGTAGGCCAGATTTGGCCAATGGCCACAATCTACTGACTCCTGGTGTATACGACTAGGTGCCTTAATAAATAATGCCAGCAAATCCAGAGAAAAAGGCTGGTTCTGGTTATCTGTGGAGACACACACCACAGATGGTAGAGACGGAAGGAAGAGGGAGTAGAGAGCTGAGCTAATATGAAAGAAAAGTCATAATATGAAGCTCACTACGCAGTATAATATCTGGGTTGCGCTGAGGCAGCCACCATAGTCCTTGAGTCACGTTCCTGGCGACAAAAACACTCAGGGTCACTCCCAGGGGAACTGGGCAGCATGAAATGACCACACAAGGGACAGAGATACCTTTTTCTTTGGGGTCGCTGTGACGGCTCCTCTGACCTTAATGGTCCACAGAAAGAGAGAACGAGCCAGGCTGACCCCTTTTATCGAAGAGAAGCCATTCAAATGAGGAAGGGGTCAGGTTTCAGGGGACTGAGTCTAGCTTTGTGATGGCCACTGTCAGCAGGTTGACTGACCTTTAGGAAGGCCACACCCAAGGGCAGAGCAAGAGAAGGGGACACACAAAGGGCGTTTCCATGGAACATTCTATCCCAAACAGGGAAAGGGGGTAATATCACAAAGGAACAGGTGAGCGTAGCTGGACCCATGGGGCTGCAGGAAGGCGTGCCTACGCATGAAGACACATTTGGCGACATTTTTAAGACCCTCAAGATCGGGGGCACAGTCTACAGCCACTTTGATGTAGCCAGATCACGCAAAGTGACTGACAGGGCCTCACCAATCAGGAAAATGGTGGCCACAAGGCGTGGCAGCCTCCTACATCCTTGGGTGCAAATTCTATGACTCTGCAGCAAGAATGTGAGCAAAACACAGAGTACTGAGAAACAATTGATATAGAGTGACCGGACTGCCTTCAGCAGGGGCTGCAGGACCCCTCCAAGACGGGACGGTGTGCAGTTTTTAAGGGAATGAAGTCCTCTGTTCTCCTCTGGATTTCCCTGTCTCCCCCAAGCTGGTTTACTGCCCTCTGGATAGCCCCCCGCAACATCCCTTGTGAGGGAAGGATATCCTGGTTGACAGGGTGGCTGGACAGTTTCACTGGTGACGCTGGCACTTACCTGAAAGCCACAGTGCCCCTTGAGGGGTCGTAACTAGCTATAGCTGGGGGTCTTGATGTGCCAGACCCCACTTTTCTGATACTTATCTGTTTTAGTTAGGTCCCCAGGATTTTAAGTAATAATTCCCAAGGGGTTAAGTTCTTGCAGCCTGGGGAAGGTTAGGCATTCCAGATCTCATTTCCCAGCTCTTGCCTGTTTAGATAGGTTCTCTGCAGTTTCACTTTTATGGCATCTGGATTTTTCTTGGTGCACAGGCCTAAATTCTGTTCTTCATTGTCCTTTCTCTCTACCCACCTGTTCACTGCTAACCTGCTAACAATATAATAAATTAATAATCGTTGATGGCACAATTCCATGATAGAGATTTTCAAAAGGGAATAAATTCAATTAACACAAATTAGACTCTTTTTAAAAAAATAATTATGATCTACTCCTGCTTTGCAGTAAATTTTACAGCAACCCCACTGAACTACAGGAATACATACACATAAACATATATAAACATAAATATGTAGGCTGATATATATAGCATACACGTATACATACATATATAATATACATGCACACATTACTGACCCATGTACATACCTTGTCCTATCAGTCACTTTGCTGACACTCTATTTTTATTTTTATTTATTATTGTTTGTTTATTTTTTTGGTCCTGGGGATTACAGAGAAGCTTTTTACCACTGAGCTACATCCCCGACCCATTTTATCTTTTATTTTGAGACAGAGTCTCACTAAGTTGTGTAGGGCCTCGCTAAGTTTCTGAGGCTGGTCTCAAATTTGTGGTCTTCTGCCTCAGCCTCCTGAGTAGCTGGGATGATAGGAATGTGCCACTGCACCTGGCTACTGGCACTTTAGAAAAACTGATATTCCACAATAAATGCAATTATAAATGAAATAATTTTTTAAAACTTTTCCACCAAATAATCTGGTAACAAGGTGTCTTGTACCATTTTCTATAGAAAGTCTGTTCTCAACATATTAGTCTTATTTCTTCCTGAGAGAAAATTCATAATCCTTAACAAGACCACACATTTCTAATTTTTTTCTAAAGCATTAATACTATTAATGTATAATTGGATCTCTATGTCTGCTTAGTCACATAACTCAGGGAGTACATTTTGGCTAGAGATATGCTGATGGATTAGGAATTGATTTCTTGGTAAAGCCTTTCACAGAGTAACTGCATCTGTAAGCACTGTCTCTGGTCTGGGTTGCCTGGAGTTTATTGAAATCTGACCTGTTGTTGAAGGCCTTCCCACATTCAGAACACACATAAGGCCTTTCCCCTGTGTGAATTCGCTGATGGACCTTGAGCTGTGGTTTCTTACTGAACAATTTTCCACAGTCACAGCATTCATAAGGCTTCTCTCCAATATGAGTTCCTTGATGGGTAGTCAACTCCGATTTACGGAGGAAGGCCTTTCCACATTTGTGACAGACCAAAGGTCTCTCTCTAGTGTGAGTTATCTGATGTTTGTGGAAATTCGACCTGCCGTTGCAGGCCTTACCACATTCAGTGCACACACAGGGTTTCTCCCCTGTGTGAGTTCGCTGGTGCTCTCTGAATCGGGACTTGGATGTGAAGGCTTTCCCACAGTCGTTGCATCTGTGAGGCTTCTCTCCTGTGTGCGTTCTCTGGTGCACGCTGAGTATTGACTTCTGGTTGAAGGCCTTCCCACATTCACTGCAAACATGCTGTCTTTCTCCAGTATGAATTTTCTGGTGTATGTTAAGGTGTGACTTTTGGGTGAAGGTTTTTCCACAGTCACTACATTCATACGGTTTCTCCCCAGTGTGCATTCCATGATGTATGTCAAGCTGTGACTTAGAAATGAAGGATTTCCCACAGTTACAGCACTGATAAGGCTTCTCTCCAGTGTGGCTTCTCTGATGAACAGTCAAGTGTGCCTTCTGGATGAAGACCTGCCCGCAGTCAACACACACATAGGACTTCTGCCCTGAATGGATTCTCTGGTGCAGGTTGAGGGTCGACTTCTGGGTGAAGGCTTTTCCACACTCGCTGCATGCCTACTGCCTCTCGCCAGTATGAACTTTCTGATGTCCGCTGAGGGTGCAGTTCTGGGAGAAACCTGTGCCACATTCGCTGCATTCACAGAGTTTTTCTCTACTGTGAGTTCTCTGATGCCTGAAGAGAGATAACGTCTGGGAAAAGGCTTTTCCACATTCACGGCATTTATATGGCTTCTTTCTACTGTGAGTCCTCTGGTGGGTAACCAATTCTGATTTCTGAATGAAGACCTTCCCACATTCCTTACAGATATAGGGTGAGCTCCCTGTGTGGCCTGTCACATATACACTGAGTTTTGGATGTGGGGTAAACGCATTCCCAAATTTGCTGCATTTATGAAGCTTTTCCACACTACAAGTTCTCTGCTGGGTAAAGATGTGTGGCTTCTGGGTGAATTCCTCCCCACACTCAGTACATTCACCTGGTTTCCCCTGAAGATGAATCTGATGTTGCATAAGTGGTTGTTTACGGCTGAGAACTTTTCCACACTGATTACCTGTGCATAAGTTCTCTTCTGTAGGAACCGTCTTGCAGCTGGCATTAGAAGAGCTATGAATGAGCAGCTGACCAGAGCCACCGATGTCTTCAGGCTGTTTTGTGACACTGCTTTGATTTTGAACATTTGCTTCTAGGTTAGGTTTCAAATGTTTTACAAACGAGCACCACTTCAGAGGTCTCTTTTGTGAAGGAACAAGGAGAAGCCTCAAGAGAATGATGTTCCCGGGGTCCTTATGTACACAATTGCTCTCGATGCTCAATGTTTTCTTGCTGATGAAGGCCCCATGACTCAGGTGGTGTATTTGATTTTGCTGATCTCTCTTTGTAAGGTCAGCATCCTGCCACAATTCTTCTAAAATGGAACACCCTGAACCACTTCTTGTGATTTCACTCACCATATCATTTTGAAATGAAGCTTTCTCAGAAACTTCCTGTTGTAGGATATCAAGCCCAAATTCTTCTGGGAGGAGAAACAGAAGATGAAACAGGCATGACAACAGGATAGAGGAGGGATCACATGGAGTTGATTGTAACGGAACATGAGGAAATCTGAGTCATGTAAACATAATGCTGATGATGGTGACAGGGAGTAGAACACTCACTCAGTCCTAAGTACACACCAAACTCTGATCTACACAGCACTCGCCATGTGCCAAGCAGCAACTGATACATGATGAAGAAATGGAAGTATAGATGCTTACATAACTGGCAACAGCACTTTGCTATCTGTGGGACCACTGGATTTAGACAAAGGCAACCTGACTGACCTTACGTAGGCTACCTAGACACCCAAACCTCGGAGAGTGAGTAAGGGGTGACAGCCAGGGCTGAAGGAGGGAGCTCAGAGTGCAGGACTTCCGTGGTTGTGGAGAAATGCCTATTCATAGCCTTTGTCCATTTTAAAAACAAGTTTCCTCTTGCATTCCTGATAGCAACTTTACCCATATGTTTGCTTCATTTATTTTGGTGATCTTACACTCTTACATCCCCAGGCACAGATCTGGAACATTTTTAACTTTTCACTTCATGTAGATCATACAAATCTTGCCAAACCTGATAATATTTAAATTTCTACCAAAAACGTCCAACATAAACTACCAGAACTGTGCGAAAAAGCTTTTCCATAACTTTTTAATGTATCTTACCAATGTTGAAACGAAAGAAATCCAGTTTACTCCCAAATCTAAGCATATACTCATATCCTCCACCTCCACTAAGCCTTCATCCTCTGCTTCTTCAAAACTGCTGCACGGAGCAGTGACTCATACTGTGCCTTGAAAATTAGCTCCCAAGGTCACTTCACCTCTCTTTTCTCTGAACTTAAAAAAAAAAAAAAAAGTTACTCTGTACCCCTCCACTTGGATACTTTTATTCCAAGTAGCCTTCTCCTAAACAGGCTGCTGCTTCTACAACTCACGCCATCGTCCTCTCATTACATCTCCTTTTCAATTTACCTCAGCAGATGTTAAAATGTTCTTCTAAAATACAACAAAACACTCTTTTTTGTCTTCAGAAATTCACCAATTCTTGTACCCTAAATGGTGTCCTCAGGCTTAGCATCGATGTAATGAAAGGTAGAGAGAACACAAAATACTCAGCGGACTGATGCAAAGTAGATCATCGACATGGCAGACATTAAGGAAAGTATGGAAACAACGATCAGAGCATGAATAATGGAAATATTCAGGTGTATTTTTAGACTAGAAATATGGGCCATGATGACAATGTCATGAAGAGTTTGTTAATCCTATAGAGAAAGAAATAACAACATGTTTGCATCAAAATCTATTGGAAAAAAAGCAATGTTTGATGTGATAAAATCTGTCAGAAACATCTTGACTGAACTCAAGAAAGGGCAGAATGAGAAAATAGGGAGCTGATTTATACAGATACCACCAGGATTAAGAAAAAGAGCCATGTAGACAGCAGGGTGTGGTGATGCACACCTGTAATCCCAGCCACTGGGAGGCGGAAGCGTGGGATTGCAAGTCCAAGGCCAGCCTCAGCATTACGTGAGGTCCTGGGGATGTAGCTCAGTGATAAATCGCCCTTGGGTTCAATTCCCAGAACCAAAAACAAAAAACTAACAGAAAAAAGAGCCATGTAAATTGTGTAGTCAACAAGAAAAAGAGATAAGAATTCCAAAGTAATAAATTAGAAGACTGAGAGAAGAGCCCAGAAATGGAAGAATCTGACAAAATTTGTCAGATTATAAGAAGTTCTAGTTTGGATGAGGATAATTCAAATTTCTGATCTTCCAAAATTAAGGAAGTGAGTCATCTCAAGAGAACTATTCTCCAGGTAACTAACTCAGGCAGCAGAATACAGCTTACGCACAGGAACTAGATATATACATGTAGGATCTGTTGCAATACAAAAATGGAGAGTGGGGATGCAGAATGGATGGGTTCTTTCAGTCAATTCCTACATGAAGCAATGACCAGATGAACATGAAGATCACCAAACTAGGGGCAGCACAACTGGGAGCAGGGAGGACAGAGGGGATCCAACACAGAAAACAAAATCAATGAATTCAGGGACAAATAAACAGCAAAATTTTAAAAGGCAGAAAACTACATGGACACAAAGGAAAACAAGATGAAAAGGAATGTACAGATGAAAACCCCAACTAGGATGATGATGGTGAGATGCTCTATTCAGTTACTAATGAAATAAACAGCAATGAAACAACCCTGTTACCCAACACAGGGGCCACATATAAGCCAGTTTGGTTAATGTCAGGGCTAACAAGTTGTTCCAACACCAACCCTTTTGCGTTTGCACATGGGAGTGTGGACTGGTGCCACCCATCAGAAGAGCAACGTGCTTCAGTGAGTTAAGTATACCTACCTCCATGATGAGACAAGCCCACTCCCTTACTCGCCTGTAAGACAGTCTCACACTGTCTCCTGCTCTACATTTCTAACGTCATGTACTGAAGCATTAGTTGTAGAAACAGGAAGAAGGCAGTACCAGTGCCCACCACTGGGGAAAAGAAAAAGGAAGACAGAGAATGCCCCCCAAAGATACTCATTTCCACTCACCTTCACACCTCTGAGGAGGGAGTTCCGTGTCCCCCTGCTGTGAAGCCTTTCCTGCATGTACCCTGAAGATCACCTCTGAGCTGGGAGTGAGGTACCCCGCTTTGAGAAGGACACAGGATTGGTGTGTGGCTTCTTGGGTATTATGTGGTGCACATCATTTCTTTATTTTTGTAGTACTGGGAACTGAACCCAGGGGTGCTATACCACCAAACTACATCCCCATTCCTTTTTATTTTTTGAGACAGGGCCTCACTAAGTAGCCAAGGCTGGCCTTGAACATGCAGTCATCCTGCCTCAGCCTCCGAAGCTGCTGGGATTACAGGTGTGTGTCACTACACCCAGGGGCTCTTTGGTTTTGGAGGGCATCAATAAAACTTTGCAGTCACTCATTAGCTAAGTCAGCGTTTCCCACTGGGCATGAAGCAGTATTTGGAGGTACCCAAAAGGAATGAAAAATCACCAAGGAAAAAACCATGACATACTCTGATATGTGTTCTACAAGGGGGAGAAAGAAAATCTCACAGAAGCCCATCCAAGATCCCCAAGTCAGTGGTGCTCACCCACTGAGAAGAGGTGACTATAGACCTCCAGCATCACGTCCTTGTTCAGGTGTCTCTGGGCAGGGTCTAGTTGCTGCCACTCCTCCCTGGTGAAGTCCATTGTCACATCCTCAAAGGACACCAATCTCTGTAACAAGATATCCCAGCTCACTGTAAATTATTCATCATTAGTAATGTAGAAGTTACACATAAAGATGTTTCTGATGATTTTTCACAATGACACATCATTAGCCTTCCCACTAAATATCTATTTCATATTATCTCTTGGGAGATTAAAAAATTTATATGAATATCCTGCCATCCATTGTGCAGTCTTGAACGGAAATGGATTATCTGTAAAAATCTAACTAACGAGGATAACCAGCATGACGTTTATTATATGCCAGCTGTAGATGTGCTGGGTTCTGGGGGCTTGATAAAATTACCTAAGCTACTCTTTCAGCAGTTCAGTGATTTGCACAACAGGAAGTAAACAGGCTCAACCACGGGGTTAAAAGGGAACCTGGGAGAAATGTATGCAGAGCACTCTGTTGGGAGAGGCAGTGGGGACAAGCAAACATTCCTGGAAGTGGCAATCATGCTACTTAGGGTTGGTGAAGAGTGGACTGGAAATGAGGTCTGATGCAGGATGTGGAGAAAATCATTTTCCAGGAAAAAAAAAAAGTGTAAATACAGGTGGAGACAGGGAGCAGCAGATATTCCAAGGACAGAAGCAACCTGGTGATGTTGGAAGGTGGTTGTCATCTAGGTTCCAAGGAGGTGGGCTGGGGCGGGTGGGATTGTAAAATGGGTAGGAATTTTTAACTGTGATCAATGAAGTGACAACTTCTTCAAGAAATGAACTGAGTGGAGCCAGGCATGGTGGTGCACACTTGTGATCCCAGCAACTCAGGAGGCTGAGGCAAGAGGATAACAAGTTCAAGGCCAGCCTCAGCGATTTAGCAAGGCCCTAAGCAATTTAGTGAGACTTTGTCTCAAAATTAAAAAAAAAAAAAAAATGGCTGAGGATGTAGCTCAGTACTTAAGTGCCCTTGAGTTCAATCCCTGTGCCAAATAAGTAAATAGTGAAAAAAACATAGATCAAAAAACATTTATAGATTAAAAAGAGACTAAAGAAACCTAACAGTTAAGTAAAATGTATTCTCATCTGAAAACCTGCATGCAGAATTCAACATGTGGCCATTTCCTTCTGGAGTTGGAAATATTTTTTAAAGAATTATAAAAACATTCTTCTTGAAGAATCTTCTATTAATCTGACATTAGACATTTATAGAAATGTAAAAAGTGCCATTCTTGCCAATAAACATTATTTTATTTTAGAAACAGATTACTTTGAACTAAAATTCTTCACATTAACACATTAGGCATATTATTTAGTTATAATGAATTAATGAATAATTTTAGAATTTCAGTTATAATGAATGTCTAATCTGCAAAATATGAATAGATGTCTACCACACAGAATTTTCTTTGGTGCCTTCAATAATTTTTAAGAGGACGGGTCCTGTTACAGACTAAATGTTTCAGTCCACCCCCAAAATGCTGAAATGCCAACCCCAATGTGACTGCATTAGAAAGGGGTCTTTGACAGATAATTAGTTCATGAGGGTAGATCCCTCATGAATGGGACTAACTACCTCTCCTTTTTCTTCTTTGTTTTTTTCTTTTTTTCAGTACAAGGAATGGAACCCAGATGCCCTTTAACCCTGAACCACATCCACAACCCTTATTATTTTTTGAGTCAGAGTCTCACTAAGTGCTAAGACTGGTCTTGAACTTGTAATCCTCCTGCCCCAGCCTCCCAGGCTGCTGGGATTACAGGTGTGTGCCACAATGCCCTGCAAGACTAGTCCCTGCCGGGTTTCTGTTCTCTCGACTAAAAGGCTCAGGGGTCACTCTAGTTAAACTGGGCTAACTGGGCTGCACAAAATAACCACACAAGAGACACAAATACCTTTTTCTTTGGTGTTGCTGCGACGGCTCCTCTGACCTTAAGGGTCCACAGAAAGAGAGAGCACGCGCTGACCCCTTTTATTGAGGAGAAGCTATTCAAATGAGGCAAGGGGTCAGGTTTCAGGGGAGTGAGTCTATCTTCATGATGTCCACTGTCAGCAGGTTGACTGACACCTGGGTAGGCCACACCCAAGGACACAGTAAGAGGAGGGGACACACACAAGGCACTTCCATGGAAGATTCTATCCTAAACAGGGCAAGGGGTTATATTACAAAGGAACAGGTGAGCATAGCTTCACCCATGGGGCTGTAGCAAGGCACACCCATTTTTGTGACTGAGCGCCTCAGCACCCAGCTGGGGAGTGTAACTCAGTCACCTGTAAGGTTGGCCTCCCACAAGTCCCCTTATAAGAACAAACATGAGAGATGAAGATTATGAGGATACAATGAGAAGATGGCATCTACAATTGGGAAGTGGGCTATCCCCAGACACCGGGCCTGCTGTGCCTTTATCTTGGACTCCCCAGCCTCTAGAACCCAAAGGATAAATGTTGTTCCAGCTGTTAGGGCGTCCTGTTGTAGCAACCTGAACTACAGACAGTGCTGAGACCAAAGTGTTCCAGACCACTCCTCTCAGCTGCTGATGCTCTCTCTCATGCACAGACATGCACACACATCTGTCATGGAAGCGTATGAGCTGGTAGAATGGTTTTAAAATCAACAACAACAACAACAAAACCAAACAAGAAAATGTAATAGCTTTATAAGGATAATTTAATATTTACAAGACAATTGGTTCCATCAAAATATTAGGTCATACCATATAATGATTTAGTATTCTTTAGTGTTATATAAATTAAATGTCATCAAAATGACAACACCAAGAGAATTTCTAAACTTAATTCCCAGTATCAAGAGAAAAAATTAAAAAATGATAAAAGAAAGCAAATGATGGAAGTGACGTGTATGAACCCTTTAAAATGGTGAACAAGCATCTGAATAACGTAACAGAAATTCTAGAAGGAGACGCCAGGCACAATGGCATGCGTATTACAATCCCAGTGACTGGGGAGGCTGAGGCAGGACGACCCCAAGTTCTAGGCCAGCCTTGGCAACTTGGTGATACCCTTTCTCAAAAAATAAAAAGGGACTGGGGGCTGTAGCTCAGTGGTAGAGTGCCCCAGAGTTCAATCACTGTACTTCAAAAAAAAAGAGAGAAAAAGTGTAGGAAGGGCAACAGTATGGAAGGCTTTAGGAAAACAACAATGATTTCCAATCTATAATGTGAACCCAGTTAAAGATAAATACAATGGTAAAATAAATAATTTCTATGATATCTTTGAGTACATATACTCAAAGTATATAGTACACACCTTATAGTAATTTATATTATAATATAGTAACATATTATAGTTATTTATCAAAGTATGTGAGTGTATAGTACACACCTTATAGTAATTTATATTATAATATAGTAATTTTTATTATTATATAGTAATTTACAATAATTCATATTATAATATAGTAATTTATCAAAGTGTGTGAGTATATATACACACACTTTGATAAATTACTATACACTTAATATATAAATATTGGGTTTTTTGGCCTTTGGCATTCTCATAAGATTTACCTGCCATGCACATATTTCCAAGGAGTTCCTATAGGATGCACTCCACAAAAAGAGTAACTATAACCTGAAAGAGAAAGCCAAAGGATTCAGGATATAGGGAGCTACATGCATCAGAGAGAAGAGAATTCCCAGGTGATGGTGAAGGGAGCCACCATGACAAGCCTGAGTGTCCAGTGCTCAGAGAACTACAGGGCTCCATGCATAAGTTAGAAAAGTGCCAGAAGAGGCTTCATCAAGAAGATAAAATGGCTGGGCACCACAGCGCACGCCTAAAATCCCAGCGGCTCAGGAGGCTGAGGTAGGAGGACCACAAATTCAAAGCCAGCCTCAACAGCTTAGTGAGTCCCAAAGCAACTTGGCAAGACCCTGTCTCAAAAAGTTAAAAAAAGGACTGGGGGTGTGGATCAGTAGGTAAGCACTGCTGGGTTCAATCCCTGGTACCAAAAAGAAAAAGAAGATAGAATTGACAAACTGACTCTCCTGAACTCTGGTTGGCTTTACTCCCAGACTGGCTGCTTGCTGACCGTATAAACTTGAGCCAACTGTTTCATTCTGAGGCTCAGCCTTCTCTTCTATAAAATGGGAATGACAGCCACTCACAGGTCTATGGTGAAGATGAGAACATGGGACACAGGAAGCTCTAAATGTGCTGCTCTTGATGTTAGCTAATAAATCAATTTATGAGAAGGATATCCACACACTTGGAGGAAAATTTGTCGATATATTTACATAAAATTATTTGGTCAATACATAAAATCATTCAGTCCAGTTAAAAACAAAATGTTGTGCAGAACAAAAATCATCACATTATACACAGACAGCTGTCGAAGCAGGTTAGATAGTCATAACCAGGGAAGATGGATCTGACCAGAAGTGATCACACGTCTTAGAGGCGTGGGCATGGCAAGCATGCATTTGCATGCTGGGGACGGGAGCGTGTGAGAGACATTAGTCCAAACCCAAGAACCTGCGAGGCGGCAAGGTGAGCATGTCACTAAGATTAGGAGGCATGGGCATTAGCCCCCTGTGGTCCACTCTCACAAATACTGAGTTCAGGATCCGCTGTTCCCTGCTGCAGATCTGGACAGCTGCTCCGGGGCAGCTCTGCTTACCTCACAAGATCTGTGCTGCTCCTCTGGGCCCAGGACCTGGGGCTTCTGGGGTAAGTGCACACCAGCTGGCATCCCTCCTGGACTTCTACTCTTGGTTTCTCTTGCTAGCAGCTCCACTTTCCTCAGAAGCTGGAAGCTGGGTGGGCACCAGAGGCTCCAACCAGAGCCACTGGGGAGAGACAGGTGGACAGCAAAGAGAATTCCTGCAGTCTGGACGACTCAGCCTAACCCAGAGGCTCCACAGACACCAGGAAACCCTGGAAAGGCAACGACTGTGTGGTCACTCATCCAACGGCTGCCCCACAGAACTGGAGGGCCCTAACATGAAGGTTACCGTGTAGACACTGCAGAGAAAACAAAGCCCAACTGTAGTTATTAGGGAAAAAAAGGCTATGAGTTGAGACTGAACTTGAAGGACTCTTGTAGCTGGGCCACCTTAACTGTGAGAAGAGGAAGATTACCAACTACCAATCACTGACCTTGCCACGTCCACAGGGTCTGGGGGATACACCAGCCCTGACCCACCCATCCATCTCCAAAGGACCCCAATGCGGGCTGCCCAGAAAGCAACGCAGTCGCTCTGGCAAACGCCCGTCTGCAATCCTCCAGCCGGCTCCCAGGGGGCACCCTTGGCCCCCGACTCTACTGGCGCCCTGGGTGGACTAGGAGGCACCTCGACCTCCGGCCCCTGGAGCACCCGGCCCCCAACCCAGCTCTGTCTACATGGGGGCCCAGCAGGACGGCACTGTCCTCCAGTGCCACCACTAGGCGCTCTGACGACTCACGCGCTCCGTCCTCCAAGGACATCAGAGTATTCCTGGAAATCAAGCTACGAAAAGTGTGAGTGTGTGTGTGTGTGTGTGTGTGTGTGTGTAAGACAGCGAGAAAAGCGAAAACTACAGCTTAACCGTCCGCCCCGCAGGGCCGTCACTCAGCCCCGTCCCTGGCCGGACACGCCCAGCCGCACGACGCCGGCCCTCCCCTCTCAGCCCACGGCCTCGTCTTCACCCAGCTCAGAACCCCCGCATCGCTGACCGCAAGCCGACTTCCCCTCCCCGACTCCAAAGAATCCCCACTGCAGATATGCCAAATCACCTCGGCGTCCCGCCACTGGTGTAGCCCCCTACGGTCTAAACGGAAGTGCGTTCTTCGAAACTTCCGGCTTGCCACCCTTCGCGTCGGGATGGCCTTACACAAGTTGCGAGATAGGCGCATGCCCACTAGCACCCCCGAAGCTACGTCTGCCAATGGTGATCAGGGCTGACAGCGTGGGTGGGTGGGTCGTTAGCGGCTCTGTAGAAACTGTCATGGCCGCGCCCATAGGATTATGATACCGGAGGCCACCATCAAAGAACTCCCATTCCGTACAGCCAGGGAAGGCAAGTGGAATGTCAAAGAATTAAACTCTTGGGCTGTCACAGGATGGCAGAAGACTTATTCCAATACTTGCGTGTGTGATATATATATATATATATAATCACACACACACACACACACTGTATATATATGTGATACATATGTATATATAATAAATTACGTGTGTGTGTGTGTGTGTGTCTGTGTGTGTGTTATCAGTCCGTTGCAGGTCAGGAACCGGGTTCATGTTCCCCAGTGTTGAAGATTCAACAGAGCAAAGCCTAGACAAGCGTAGAGAATAAGTTTTATTTAAGAAAGTGATAGAGATAGACTTCTTCAAAGAAAAGTAGGGCTTCAGAGCCAAGAGCCCGTGAGAAGATGTGCAACTAGCTTTTTTATGTTATATCAAAAACGAATATTACACGGAGACCCTCGAATAACTCCCAGACCACACAGTTTTATGCCAATAGAGCCTTTATTGCTGGCCAGCGGCAGACACTCTACTCTCTATAAGCGAGATGGTCAGAGTGTCACGCCTGCTTCAGGTGGCCTCATATTTAAACCAAAACAACACAAAAGGGACATTTGGGTTTTTAGCCAATGTAAGCAAGCAAGTACAGAAGCTGAATTGGGCAGTTAAGGACACAATGCAGTGGGTAAATTGGTATTTCCCACAGGACTTTCCAGGTTGGCAAAGAAGCAAGCAAGCAGAAAGGAAGTGGGTCAAAATGACCCTATTTGAGTACAAGTTAGAGAACGTCTAGATGATTAATCTCTGACAAGGCTTCATTGCCCAAGAAATATAGAAAGCAAAGAGAACAATTTTACATTGTATAAGAATTTCTAGGTAACTATTAATTTGGGTACAGAGATGGGGCTTTCCCACAGGAGAAGCATTTCTTACATGATATGGAGAGTCTCAGGGTAAATGGAATCTGTTTGGTCATTGCCTAGCCTGGCCCATAACATATAGACCCTAGAATCCCCTTTTTACTGTCTTCTCTTTCTTCCCTGCATACATTTCCAAGAGCAGTGGTGCAGAGGATAGTTGTTAGCAATCGATTTTCTCTCTTTGCCTACCAGTCCTCATCCACTGGGACCTCATCCTTCATCACCTACACTGACTGCCTGACCTTCACCCCTGCCTCCTTTTGCTGAGGAATGTGATATCACCTGTCCACTTCGGCCAGTCAGGGCTGCAGGAAGATTGCTTTTAGGCAAAAAAGAAAGCAGGTGGGGTGAGCACAGTGGGCCCATTTTGTAGAATTATCCTCTTAGTCTTGTGTTCCCACCATCTTCTCTGTCTCCTAACTTACACACACACACATGCATGTAATATATTCATATGTATAATATATAATATATGCGCATATATTTCTTAGAGAAACTGGTGTGTATTCTGAAAAAAAAACTTTTCTCTGTATTTTTCACACTAATTAAAAGGCTTTTTTATTTTTCTTCTTCTGAATTACTAAAAATTGAAAATCATGTGGGCTGTTGGAAAATGGGAAGTAGAGCCCAGGGAGGATCGAAAAGGTGAACAACTGAAGTGAACTTTCTTATACATAATGATTTGGAAGCAGTGAAGCCAGATCAGACAGGCAGTCAGTTTAGGCAGGTAAATCGAGTCAGGTGGGATCAAGGAGGCCAATTTTGAGTGAGTCCAGGAAGTTGGAGACTGTCTCCTGAGGGTTTGAAATGTGAATTCCTTCAGCCCTTCCTCCACCCTTATCAAGAACCTGCCCCTGCTCCAACCTGCTGCTAAGGTCACCTGTCCCAGGAGTGGCCCTGCCTACGGGGAGCTATAAGGTTGTTAATCAATGTGTCCTGGGCGGCACCATCCTGCCCTCCCCCCTTCAGCCCACCTGGTGCCCACCTTTTGGCCATCCCTCTGAGCATTTCCTAGGCCAAGTCACATAAGTAGGAAGGAGAAAGTTAAGAGGAAGAGGGCAGGAGAACAAAGGAAGCCAAAGACCTATAGAAACAGAACACCTGTGGCTTCTGGGGATGCCAGGATACCAGCTGTGGCCCCCTCCTCCCTCCCAGGAGAAGTCTATGTTACCCCTTTTTCAAATAAACCCTGATTTATATGCTTGCCTCCAGGTGGTTCTCCAATGTTATACTTCATCACGTGAGGAAGCAGGACTCGTCACCAATAACCGGCAGTACCAGCAGTTCATGGTCACCAAAGGACTAAGCTCCAGTCTCACTTATATAGAGAAAAAAAGGGGGAGGAGAAGTGAAATATATAGAAACAGTAGATCAGGAGTGTGAAGGGCAGAAAACGGGGAGAGTCAGGTTAAAAGGTAAAAGCATGCACTTACATAGGAAGAGTAGTTATGCAGAATGAATAAGTCCATAGCCCTAACAGTGGAGGACCAAAGTGGATAATACTGAATCTATGAGTTTGCAGAAGCTGTTCATCTGGAGAGCAGGTGCAAGAAGGAGCAGATCCTGGACTTGCTGTCCCTGAAGCCAGTTTGATCCTCCCTCTGAGAGTGGACCACAGGGGTCTATTGCCCCTACACCTCCTTGTCTTTCAGTGACATGCTCATCTTGCTGCCTCTCAGGTTCTTGGGTTGAGACCGGTGCCTCGATCACTCCAATCCCCAGCACATGCCCATGCCTCCAAGAGCGAGTCCATTTCTGACCAGATCCATCTTCCCTATTACATGACTGACTGAACTACATAGGGCTGCCCATATACACTGCGATGACTTTTCTTCTCTTGCACAACTTTTAACTTTTCTCAGGAGTGAATAATTACATGTGTCAGCTATTCGTTTACCTTTTACAGGTTCATTTTACCTTACCAGAAATGCTTGGGACAAAAAGTGTTCTGGATTTCTGATTTTTTCAGACTTTGGAGTACTTGCATATACATAATGAGATATCTTTCTAAACATGAAATTCATTTATGTTTCCGATACACCTTAAATACATGGCCTGAAGATAATTTTATATAACAATTTGAGCATGCCTGTGTCACCAGCTGTTCATGGGTTGCATGTGGGTCACCATTCTTGGATGCTTCGTGGATAGAGATACCTGGTGTTTGGGAATAACCAGTGGACATTTCCTCTGGTCAATTGCCCAGGGACAATGTGAATCTCTTTCCTACTCTGCTTTGGCCCACACAGCACCTGAGATGGGTGTAACCTGCTGTAAGAGTAAAAGAAATTGAAGTTAAAGTGTAAAAGACCGGGTACTGTAAAGCTTCTAAGCTGAAAAGCCTGAGTTAAAATGTAAAAGACCAGGTATTGTTAAGTTCCTATGCTACACTCAAAACCTGAAATTCCTGTAGCTGTTAGGACAATTCACCGGACTGCCCAGTAGATATTCCCCCTGACCATTTAGTTGTTAAATAACCTGGGCCCTGTGCAGTTTAGCACGTAGGCATTCAGGGCCCAAACCAATCAGTTTAAATGTGTACCCCGCTTTAGGACTAACCTATCACCCCCGCCCGACCTGTTCCCGCCAATGAATGTACTAATCATGTTCGAGAGTTGTTGTTTGATTTTCCCGCGCCTCATGATGATTTGCTCTGATGTATGCAAAGCCCCCGCGCTCCCCAAAAAGTGTACTTAAGCACTGCTCAACCCCTGCTCCGGGCTCTGGGCCGCTCTCCCTTGTTGAGTGAGCACGGAGCCCCAGCATGCTGGATCTTCAATAAACCCCCTTTTGCGGTTGCATGAGTCGGTCTCTTGGTGGTCTCTTCCTCTGTCGTTCGCCGGACCCTTACACTGCCAAGATGTCAATCAACCTGCTGACTGCAAGATATCATGAAGCATGCTCCGCCCTTGAAACCTTACCCCTGCCTTTGATGGACCCCCTTAAATAAACCACGGGAGCCATTTTCCCTTTGTCTAGTTCCAGAGCCCATGTGGACTAGATCTGTCAGCGGCTTCACTTCCTGTAAATATATTTCTGAGTATTTGTGCTTTGTTATTCACTAATCATCTGAGATTGTAAGTTTTAGGGTGGCTTAGATTCCCCTGGGCAGAAAGAACCCCACAAAGAGATGCTGGCCATCATCCTTTCCCCTAGCAATTCCTGCATTTTTTTCATTTTTTAAAAATAATTTCGTGATTTTTTCTTTTGTTAGTGCTTTGCAGTTATACCTAGGAGTTGGGCTCATTCTGACAAAAACATCGTGAATGGAATTTGATTTACTCCATTTCAGCACTTCCCCCTTCTTTCCTCCCCTCCTCCCCTCCTATTCTCCTTCCTCTACTCTCTTGCATTTTGACTGCAACACGTCACATGAAGTAAGGGACAGAATTTTCCCCTTGTGGCATCATATTGATACCCAACATGTTTTGGATTTTGGAGCACTAAAGATTTCAGAGTTTCAGATGAGGGGAGCTCAACCTGTACTTATTAGCACATTGCCAGATTTCCCTCCCATTGTGTGGCTATTCTTCTAAAAACCTGGCTTTATTATTAACTAACATCAACAGTAGCAATGACTGCACTCATTTAGAGCTGCCTGTGTCCCAGGCGCTGTTCTGATCTTCACAACAGACCCATGAGCTGCGATTATGACCCCTCTGTTTTACAGAAGAGAAGCCCGAGGCACAGAATGAAACAACTGACCCAAGTTCCTGCAGCCAGCAGGCAGCCAGCCTCGGGGCAAACCAGCCA